TTGTTTCAATATATGCATCATTTATCTTTTAGTTGAAATATGACCAATTTACTATTTCACATTTTATTATGAATATTGATTATGAAACTAATGGCTAATCTCTCTTTTGATTGTGATCTTAGCAGCTTAAGCTATATATTATATATATATATATATATATATATATATATATATAATATATATATATATATATATATATATATATATATCAATTGGCTATGTTTTTCAAAACCTTGTATAAATCGATTTTAAGTCTTTTGATTTAACAAAAAGAGGGAGAAATGTGTTATGTTTAAGGGAGAAGTGTTATAGTAAGGGGGAGTAATTTTCAAAATGTTTTTTCAAATTTTAGAAAATATTAAAATAACACAAATGTTTTGTTATATTAAAAAGGGGGAGATTGTTGAAAACATTTTTGTGTTTCGATATAACAAATTAGTTTAAATGAATTTTAAGATTTTACAAAAGATTTTCTAGTATATTCGATTCAATTAATCGAATATCAAATTATTACTCCAAGTATTTTAAGATCAATTTCAAACCTTACTAAATGTGTAAAATTGTGTTTTATACTTAATATATTTTTGAAACAATTTTCACAAAGTATTTGAACCAAAATCAAGCCTAAAATCAATTTTTCAGAGTGATGCACCAATGAACCAATCCATGCATCGATGTACCATGAATCGATGCATCATGAATTAAATTGAACATCGAATGCATTTCATGTATCGATGCACTTACCATGCACCGATGCACTGAGGATTTTATGAAAACATCGAATGCATTTGATGCATCGATGCACCAGCCATGCATCGATGCACTCTGGTTATTTTGAAACATCGAATGCACTTGATGCATCGATGCACTCTTAGTGCACAGATGCACTAAGGGTCCAACGGTCAAATATTTGAATTTTACATTGATGCACCGATGCACCATGGGTATGCATCGATGCACTGACGCTCCCAACTGTTTTAATTAATTATTTTCACACTTAAACGGCTCTATTGACTCCACTAATCATCCACAACGTTCAGAAGTGATTCAATGTGTATTTAAACAAGCTTAGAAGCCATTGATCAACAATAAGAAACAACAAGCAACTAGAATCAAGAGAGAATCAAAGAGAAAGCATCAAACCTCAAGTTTGAGCACTTCAAACCTATTTTTCATTCAATATTCATTTTGCTTTGAAGAACACTTATTGTGCTCATTATATTCATTATTGAGTGTTCTTTCTTTGTTCTAGAATTGTGCAAACATATTTGCCTTGTGAGGTTTTCTTGTAAGTTTGAAAATTTGTAATCTTCTCTTTAAGAAATGAGTGTCTCAAGAATTGGGGTATATTCTTGAGGGAGTTGTAAGGTTATCTCTTTGGCCTCAAAAGAAAGAACAAATTAGTGAATTTGTTGGAAAATCCTTAGTGTGGATAACTAAGGTAGTGGACGTAGACTTTGGTTGATAAAGTCGAACCACTTAAATCGATGTGCAATTACTTTCAATTTTCTGCAAAAGCTTCCACCAAATTTTTAATTGCCAATTCACCCCTCTCTTGGCCGATTCCATCGATCGATTAACTCAACAAATATACAACAAATATACGAAAACCCAAGCCAAAGTAAAAAATAAAAACGTTCGAAATCAAAATCAAAAATCAAAAATTAAAGCTTTGTTTCATCGAAGGTCGTCGGGAACGCGTGGAAGCCTCGTCGGGAAAGGAAAAAGCCAGCCGAATAGGTAAACCCGAAACTTCGAGTTTAGATCTACATCGGTGGGGAATTTTTTGGGATAATTGGGCCTCGGTTTTGGCTCACGGTGCTGAGATGAGTAGTTCAGGGTAGTTTAGGTTTTTCGACAATCGAGCGGCAGGGTGTTGTCGGGTTTTGGTAGGTTGAGAGAGAGTTGGGATAGAGCTAGAGAGAAATGGGGAGTTGATTTTTGAGAAATAGTTGAAATGAATGAATTTTGTATTTTTGGGTTATTTATAGGACTGAAGTACAATTAGTAAATTCTTAAATTATTTCTGTAGTCCCTAAAGTTTTGATGCGTAATTCATTTTGGTCACCTGTTGTAATTTTGCCTTTGAATTTTGAAATTAATTCAATTTAATCCCTATTTATATTCTTACATTTTGCAAATTGGCCCCCTAACCTTTTTATTTTCCTTGCATCTTTCATTTAGCATCAATTTGACCCTAATTTTTTAATTCTTTTCAATTTAATCATCTTAATATTTGTTTTAATACATTTTTGTATTTTGTATTTATTTATTGTTTAACATCAATTTCACATTTTTTAGGCTATTCTAAATTGGTCAAAGTTAAGTAATTCAGATCAAACTTCTAAATTTTAATTTAACTTTTAATTTTTGCAATTAAGACAATCGAGAAATCAGTGGTACCGAAAGGGCAATACAGGGGTGCTAATCCTTCCCTGACTGTAATCGACTCGTGAATCCGACAAATTTCTGGTAAGTTGTAGATCAGAGAACAGTAAGTTATGGTATCCGATCAATCAAATTAAAATGATCGGTGGCGTCTCCATCACATAAAATTAATCGAAACCAGATTCTGGATCCACCCGAAGGACGGTTGCGACAACTTGCCGACTCCGCTGAGGACGGATAAGAGAGTCATGCAAAAAACGATTCATGGTTGTCTTCCTAAGCGAAAGTATAAGTTTGGATTAAAATTTATCTTTTTGATCTTTGTTATTTACCTTTGATTATTATTTTTTAAATAAATAGTTTGACTAACGGTTTTCTAATGATTTTAGCTTTTCTTAAAATCATTCATCTCAGGCTCTATTCCTGAGCTCCAAACCATTTTTTTAAGTGGGACGAAAGTGACGCCTTCGTGAGAATTATTCGCTGTATAGGCATAGCAAGTAACCTTCGGGATTCATATACCCTATGTTTTCGTATGAATTTATTCTCCGTACGGATATAAGGGAATGTATCCTCTCGAGTTTAACTCGATCCACAAGAGCCTGTGATGGGCTTAGGACTGAAGGTCTAGCAAGCCCAAGGGGCACCGGCAATGAGAACTCGGATACCTCTTTTAGAATCAAACTGTGATGCTGTAAGGAATAGAGCTCACCCAAAACTTCACTCAAAACCTAGCACACTTGATTTATTTCCTGTCTTATTTTAACGTTCAAAGCATGCGAATTACAATACATGCAAATTAAAAATAATGAGAAAATAAAAAATAATAATAGATTTTTACCCGCAAGGAAAAGAAGAATGGCCATGAAAAGAACATTACACACTTGAAAATCTTCATGGGTTTCAGTTCTTTTTTTAATCCTTTTCTTCCTTTATTTTAATTTACTTTATGAAAAAAAAGGATGCCATTCTTCTAAATTTATAGTGCAAGATGTCTTTATCCTTTATTTTAAATTTTGCAAGAATTTTTGTATATAATATTAATTGGTAAAAAAATTCATGTATTTAGACCATATTACCATATATTTCAAAATTTATTATCTTCCATGAAAGCAAATAATTGAAAAGAGATCATATATCTAAATTATGATGTCAATTTAACCCAAATTCGACAGGTTCTGATCCGACCCAATCTGATAGGATCATATTTAGAAAAGAATCAGTTTCAAGTCGAGTCGGATTGAATTTTTTGAGGAGTGAGGTCGGGTTAGGTGGAGGATGAAAAATCTCTGACCTGACCCGGCCCGACTCAAAGATAATAATGTAATTTCCTTTAAAATTTTATAATTATTTTCATTAAATCCTTATTTTATACCGGGTGGACTTGGGTCGGGTTCGGTAGAGGATGAAAAAACTTTGATCCGATCCGAGGATAATAATGTAATTTACTTAAAAATATAATTATGTACATTAAATCCTTATTTTATACCAGGTCAACTTGGGTCGGATCGAATTTACACTCTAAAAAATTGAGTCGGGTCTGAATTGAATGGAAATATATATTTTTCAGGTCGAATAAGACGGAGGATATAAATTTTTTTGAATCGGGTCGGATTCGTATTGGCCAAAAACCCGACCCTAACTTGATCCATTGTCATCCCTAATCTAAATCATATTACCACATATATTTAAAAATTATTGTTGCCCAGAAAACAAATAATTTATTTTTTGTGGGGTCAACTTTAACAAAAATAAAATAAAAGTAACATAAAAAGATCCATTGTTAGTGAGTGACTAAAGATGATAGTGTTTTCCACCTTGTATGGATTCAAACCCCATAATCATTTTGATAATATATTTCTCTCTCTGTTTATTTATTTATTAAATTAACATAAAATTAGATTTGTTTCAAAAGACTATAAGTTAGATGACACCAAATAGAAACATAGACAAATACACTTAATTATTGGGTGGTGACACAAATGAATGAAATTTAGAAATTGTATAAAAAAAATAGAAAATTTTTAAATCTAGGTGATCCAAACAAAAACAAAGACAAAGGTAAATGACAAATACATAATTTACCAGTAATTAGTTGGTATATTATATTTTTATAAAAATAGAAGCGAATAGTTTTATTTTACAAAAAAAAATATAAAATTACAATGAATGTTTACAGTCTAAGAGCAAACTAAACACATAATTATGACATTTTCTATATCCATTGACACAAAAAACTAATCACTTAAGATCATACAACGATCATATGAGAAAAACGTTAAAAATATATCCAAAAGACTCGAACAAAATATAAATGTGAATATATCTAATTACATCGATAAACTAATCACAACATGAGATCAAACTATTGAAAGACCATCGACATTCGTAAATCAGAGTTGAGTATTGCGAGAAAACTATCTTTGAACGTAAATCTCATATCCAAATCTAATATAAGGGTCAAAAGTAAGGCAGATCGACAAAATAGTAAATAAGCGACATCTTGATCAGTCAAGGAAACATCACATCTAATTCTGAGAAAATTAAAAGAAAATAGAATAATAAATAGAAATCACTACCTCATCAATGAGATAAACAAGAAATTCAAAAGAAAATAGAATATTAAATATTATTCATCTGATGTGAATTTTATTCAACTGGATTTGGAGTAATTAAATAGATGTAGTACGCCGAATGGAATGTTTTTCCTAAGAGGGGGGAGGAGGACAAGGGAAAGCGCAAAAGCAACCTGGTATACAAGCTCCTATAGCTTTAGGTCCATGTTGTTGCTTACACAAGGTCTTGCAAACTTTCCCACAATCTGACGGTGGCATCTTTATTATTGCAACGCAACCGGGTACAATATCTCTTGCTGCTACCACTTCTTTCCCTGTTCCCCCCCCCCCACGTATAATACAAGGTTAAATAATGTTTGACCTAATATATTATTTAAAAAACAATAATTATTTGGATAAGGTAACTAAAAATGAATGAGAAAACATAAATAATAATGGATTTTTACCCCCAACGAAAAGAAGAATGGCCACGAAAAGGACAGCAGAGATTTGGAATTTCTTCATGGCTTTCTCCTCTTTTTCCCTCTTTTTTGGTATGAAATAAAGAAGATGTAATTATCTTAAATTATAGGGGAAGATGTCTTTATCGTTTATTGATTTGGTAAGAATTGTTGAATATAATATTAATTGGTAAGAAATAATGTATTTAAATCATATTACCATATATTTCAAAAGTTATTATTGCCATAAAATCAAATAATTGGCGTATCTAAATCATATTCCCATATATTTAAAAATTATTTAAAAGTAAATAATATAATGTCATGTAGGGTCAAATTTCTTTCTTATAGTATATCTATTCCCCTTCTCGCACTACTAAATTTGTATTCTAGAATCTCATTTTATTTATTTCAATTTTTACCACGTAACGTTCTTTGATGATTTTATATTTTATAAAAATAATTAAATTTATTTTTAATTAATACAAATTAAATTGATATCATCGACTTTATATGTCACAAAATTGATTTTATATTTTCTCATATTTATTATTTTTATTTTAATTATCACATGTAAGTTCAGACTGTTCGGTGTACACATGTGTTGCGACCATAATTTTATATGTCACAAAATTGATGTTTCTAACAATTTTTAAGTTTTTCAGGTCACAATTGTATTGGTGATATGTAGAAAACGAATGTCATGTATAAATTATGTAATCTAAATTCACATGTTATATTATATATTTATATAAAAAATTACATATAATTTTACACGTTTATATCCAATATCTTTTATCATATAAATATAATTCTAACATTTAATATTTTAATAATATATTAAGATCCATTGATTTATTGAGTGATTAAAAACACTTATATTATACTTTGTATGAATTCAGGTCCTTATATTTATCTTGTAATGTGATAATCTTACTTAGTAAAAAATATTTGAACAATATATTAAATAGTAGATACAAACCACTATCTCATTTGTACATAAATAAAAAAAATAGAATAAAGTACGTAAATAGTTCCCCAACTATAAAGTGTTGATTTGTTGAGTCTCTCGACTATTAAAAGTTATAAAATAGTCATCGGAATACAAGGCTATGTTTTGTTGAGTCCTTTAACTATTAGAGTTACAAAATGGTCACTGGATTATTCAGATATTTCAAACTCGTCATTTTTCGTTAAAAAATTGATGATTGTCTAAGCTAGATGTTAACCTGCTGACTGAATGTAATAAAATTTGATCACATAATCTCAAACGACTATACCACTCAAACGGTTCTATGATCAACTTTTATCATATCCTAGTCAACTGGTTAAAATCTAATTGAAATGACAATTGTTTTTTTAATAAAAAGGACAAGTTTGGAACATATGAATAATCATGTAACCATGTTATAAATTTCAATAGTCGAGTGACTCAACAAAACAACACCTTATAATTAAGGTATCATTTACGTACTTTATCCATTAGGATATAAAACATTATTCGTATGAAAAGAGTAATAAATAAGAAATCTTGTATTTATTCAAAACTCTGTAAATAAGGTGACAGGATATTTGAAATATCATAAAATCTTTGAAAATACAGTATTAGGACTCATCCACAATTCGAGTGTTTAAAACCGAAAACTCTGATATCACCAAATGTAACCCCCTAGACCCGGCCCAGGAGTTACTAATTAATCTAGAAGATCGCATGCCGCATTCAGAAGTTCTTTTCATTTAAATGTAAAACAAATCCATTTCAGTAAAAAATGACCATGTAATGGTAAAATACTAAAAAAACCATCATAAGAATCCATTGGTAAATTTACAATAATAACGCCACCAAGATACAAAATACTGGTAATACATATATGGCAGTACTAACACACACACCCAAAATATAACAGACGAGGTGAGTATAAATATATAGATACAAAACGAAGAATAGTCGATCTTCTTGATGCCAATTCTAGTAGCCTACTGTCGAGTAATTATGAAAGATTAAAAATAAAGAATGAACTAAAGCCCAATGTGCTCCTTACAATGTTAAAAAGCATACAGATAAAATACTTCGATAAAAGTTTGGCACAAAATAGGTTTTGAAAACAAGAACACTACCCACATCCAAACACCAGAATGTGTAGGACCCATAAGGACCCTACACCGGTAAGGACCCTATACCCACAGTACACCCGGTAAGGACCTTATACTGATAGTATAGGGCCTGCGGTAAGGACTTACCCTGTGCAGAAAGAAAGAGGAGTCTACAAAAGGTCTTACAAGTCATAGGCTAAGCCTGAGATACTACTTCCTCCAATCATACCCCAATGATAGTAAAGTGCATGTATTTGAGTAAGAATAGTAATTTAAATATTAAAATGTCATTATATAATCAAATACAAAAATACAATAATCAAAGATCATGCTAGAAGCATTCGGTAATTCATATATCATGCAGTCGGAATATAAAATCAAAATTTTTAAACAGTTTAGACATATAGTCAAAACAATATTATAACACCAATAGGAACACATTTGAATCGATCTGAGTAGTCTGGGACGATCACATACTCTCAGGTTTGTCTATCGCGGTCAGCGACAGTGCTAGATCATAAGAATCAAAATAATTGAAATCAAAATACTTATAAAATAAGTAATAAACTTTAATTGAATAATTCACATAAACCTACGATTAGCTCTCGAAGAACTCAAATCGAACGGATTTGTAGGGCGGGTAGTGTCAGACCTAGATGGCCCTCGGTCAGGGGTATCTCGTGTACCTTCATAAAAATATAGCCTAAGATTAATTACATAATCAAATCTTGAATAAAAGTGTAGAAATGCTAAAAATACTAAGCATTTTCAAATTAATGGGCTCGCTTCATGACTTTTGGGTCATAATTTGGCAAAACGAACTGTAAAATCGGACTTAGGACGTTGTAAAAAATCAAGTGATAGGTTTTTGAAAAAAATCAATGTCGGTCAATAGTCAAAGTCAGCGTCGATTAACAGTCAATGGTCAATGGAGGTGGTCAACAGCTCGACACAATGCGACACGACACAGCTCGGCTTGACTTAACTCAACTTGATTCAGTTTGGTTCGGGTTGGATCGGTTTAGAAATAGACCGGTATGGTTGGGCCGGTTCGATTGGGTTTGGGCTAGACGGGTGTACAGGTCGGGTCAAATATGGTTACTGGTAAGGTCAGTTTATGGTTGAGTGTACGGGTTGGGCCAACTCGCTTCTAGACGGTCCACCAGGCTGTGGACAAGCCCCAAGCACAGGGGCGAATATCCCGTTTATGCTTCGCCAGAAACTTGTTTTGTGTCACCCCTCCACACGCCGACGACTCAAACAACAAGACAATCACTGTTGGACTCAGGACGATGCAAGGATTTCATTGGTGTGAGAGGTGTCAAAAATGGAGTAGTGGTCGGCAACGAATCGATGGTTAAAGTTTCTTTGCTAAAACTTGCCAAGAAGGGAATGAGAGAGCAAGAGAAATTGTTGGTTTCCAGAAATGGAAAGTTTCAGGAAAAATGAGGTTTTATGTCCAACAAAAAGAATAACCCGTCTCAACTCATCATCTTTAGGAATGCAGTAATGACCGTGAAAACACAAAATACCATCATGATCCACAGTATACTCTGAACTCAATCCTTGCTTAACTTGTTCAATAATGGGAAGCAATGAGCTATCCAGAAGTTGTTTGGTCTTAATCTCCTCGGCCAAAGTAGGTTTAACCTGTAACTCTGCTAACAGACTATTATCATCAAATAAACTCAAGTTGGTGAATAATGCTCTGAGATCTGATATCGTCTTACGGCTCAAGGCGTTGTCTCTAGATCTTTAAAGCAAAAAACCATGCAGCTAGCTCCAAATCATGATAGGATAGTTACGCTCATGCGACTTTAACTGACGCGACGCATAAGCGACAACCTTCCCATCTTGCATCAAAACACATCCTAATCCAAAGTGAGAAGCATCACAGTAGACAAAAAATCTTTCCCAGATTCAGGCTAAATCAGCACCGGGGCTTGAGTTAGAACAATCTTCAATTTCTCAAAGCTAGCTTGTTGGTTCTCAGACCAAACAAATAGAATATTTTTCCTCAATAGTTTCGTCATATGAGCTGCAATAAGGGAGAACCCCTCTACAAAATGACGGTAAGCCCAAGAAACTACGGATCTCAAAAATGTTCCTGGGTTGCTTCCAGTTCAAAATAACCTCCATTTTGCTTGGATCCACCCGAATACCATCAGCAGAAACGATATGTCCAGGAAAAGTCACTTCGTTGAGCCAGAATTCACACTTGCTCAACTTAGCGTATAGCTTATTCTCCCTTAGAGTCTGTAGAACAATCCTTGGATGCTCTTCATTTTATTCTTCACTTCTAGAATACACCAGTATGTCATCAATGAACACAACTACAAACTGGTCCAAATAAGGTCAAAACACCCTATGCATCAGATCCATAAAAGCAGCAGGGGCATTTGTTAACCCGAATGACATCACTAAAAACTCATAATGCCCAGACCGAGCACGGAAAGTAGTCTTCGGAATATCCAAGTATTTCACTTTGAGTTGATAATAACCAGACCTCAAGTCTATTTTTGAAAAGATAAAAGCCCCACGAAATTGGTCAAATAGATCATCGATCTTAGGCAGAGGATATTTGTTTTTAACCGTGAGCTTGTTCAGTTTCCTATAATCAATACAGAGTCTCAATGTCCCATCTTTCTTCTTAACAAAGAGAACTGGGGCTCCCCACGGTGATACACTAGGTCGGATAAATCCCCTGTCCAATAACTCCTGGAGTTGAACTTTCAGTTCCTTAAGCTCCTTTGGGGCCATACGATAAGGAGCCATTTAAACGGGAGTGGAACCAGAATAAACTTCAATCTCAAACTCAACCTCTCTATCCGGCGGTAATCCAGGCAACTCCTCAGGAAAAATATCAGAAAATTCCTTGACAATCTGGATGCCTTCAATATCAGATTGAGAACTCCTAGTATCCAATATATAAGCAAGAAACGCATCGGAACCTTTCCTAATCATCTTCTCAGCTACCAAAGTAGACACAA